AATCCAGATCAGCCGTCACTTACAGGACCAGCCCCATTGAAATAAGTTTCAAATGCACGTGAGGATACCACCACTCCCACAGACAAGATTTTTCTAGAAACTCAGAAAATGCTGGCAGATCTGCTGCCCACGAGAGCGTGTCCGAAGAGCTGCTCGTTCGGGCTGGGAGAGGGGCTCAAGCCCAAGTTCCTGGATTTGCAGACCCAGGTACCAACGCTGCAAGTCTCACACACATAATTAGGCTGAAAACTGAAATCCAAAGCAGAAGCAGCTGGGAGCAGGGCAGGAATTATCCTGGCCTCTGCTGTGCAAATCATTTAGCGGCTGTTTGAAGATTCAGTGAAAACTCTGCCCTCTTTATTTGTCAGTAGCTCCCCGAGCGCCACGTACAGCAAATGTTGTGTTTACATTTCCCACTGAGTTGGAGAATTAATTCTCTTTGTAGAGTTGTGAAGTGAAGCAAATGCCTGAGTTTGTTTGGGTGAGTTTATCATCAGATCAACAGGTTTCTGGTGCTGCCAGAAACGTGCTAAGTGGCTGTGCATGTCCAAGCAGTGCTCCCGGGGAAGGGGCTGGCCATCCCTGGCGGCGGCAGCACCACCAAGGAGCATAAATCAGGGACCGTCTACTGTTATTATTACATATCTAATTGTGACAAAGGCTTGGAAGTCTCCATCATGTCTTCTGGAAGAGTTCCGAGATCTCCATTGCCCATCTGAGATCTCAGGGGAAGGTCTAGCCCCCTTATGAAGGGGCCACGGCTGCCTTTCCATTGTCCCTATGGCTTTCTCCAAAGGGTTCCTCATCTTTCTCTTTTATGGAGAACTTTTTCCTGAAGGCTTGCGTTAAGCTGGAGGAAGAAGCCTTCCTAAACGTGGTAAGCCTCTTCCGAAAGTTGCCCCCTGAGAAGAAATAGAGAAGTGGGTCAAAGCAGCAGTTGGAAGCTGCCAAGGGGAGCGTTACCACGACCGATTTCTGTAGGTATATGGTGTCCTCGCAGCTGGCGTTCTTCAGCCGCAGCATGTGGAGGTGGATCGTACGCAGAATGTGGTATGGGGTGAAGCTGACCAGGAAGGTGGCCGTCACGATGACGATCATCCAGACCGCCTTCTTGCGGTTAGCCTGGTTCTTCCTCAAGGAATTTTTCAGTAAGGTCCTTATGATCATGGTGTAGCAGATGGTTATGACAATAAAGGGAAAAATGAAACCCAGAAATAGGGCAATAAAATCCAGGATCACCACTAGATTTGTCTTCTGAGAGTCTTCTGGGGGTTCGAAGCACTTGGTCTTGTTGTTATGTTGGTATGTCCCGTTTTGCAGAAAGGGAGTGCTTGTCAGGGTGACAAAAATCCAGATGCCGATGCAGACAAATTTAGCCTTCCTCTCCGTTACCAAATTGATGTTCTGGACTGGAAAAACAATGGCTATGCAGCGGAAGAAGCTCATTGCAGTCATGAAAAAAATGCTGCAATACAGGTTGACGTACAGCGCGTACGAACTGACCCTGCATAGGAAGTCACTGAAGAACCAGTTCCCTTTGTGGACGTAGTAGATGACACGCAGGGGCAGGGTGCACACGCAGAGCAAGTCGGACATGGCAAGGTTCAGCATGTACACCTGGAAGGCTGTCTTCTGCCGGTATGTTTTTATGAGGATGTACAGCACAACGCTGTTGCCGACAAAGCCCATAATGCTGATCATGGAGTAGAGCGTGGAGTAGACTCGGTTTCGGAAGTCATCAATGGAGTGATGGCACGACAGGTTATTCGACGGCACCGTCATGTTGCCTGGCTGAGGCACCGATTCCACCTGGTGATGAATGTCAGGCCTAAGGATTTAAAACTCAGGTGAGTTATGTAAAGCAGCACATGAAAATAAGATGTGATTATTAAAAAGGAGGAAAAACCTATGAACTCTCTCGTACAAGAGAGAACAGCTGGGACGGGAGGTGGGTCTGTGCAGATCCGTGTTATTATAACTATCCGCTGCAGCCACCTTTCTTAACCTGGTACCAGCAACTGGTGATGTAAAGATGAGAGTCACATTTTCATAAGTCCCCAGTACTGGCGGCATCCTTCTTTCACCGAATTACCAAAAAGCTCTAACTCCCCGCAAACTAAGGTAGCTACTCCTTAAAACAGCAGAGAGTAATAATGCAGGTGGCAATAGCACTATGCAATTTAAAATAGAAAGAACCAGATCTGGTCCCTAATGACTGTCCAGTCCTGCCTCTCCGCATCGCCTGGCGAATGGCTGTCTCCCTGTGCTCCACCTCCATGCCTGCCTGTGCAAGGACACGTCACTGCAAGAAGGCTTCTGAAACAGTAAAGGACATGGTCAAACAAGCCTTTCTCCAGTTTAAAAAAACAAAAACAAACCACAAACCACAACTGTCCTGGTTTCGGCAGGGATAGAGTTAATTTCCTTCCTAGTAGCTGGTACAGTGCTGTGTTTTGGATTTAGGGTGAGAATAATGTTAATAACACACTGATGTTTTAGTTGTTGCTAAGCAGTGCTTACGCTAGTCGAGGACTTTTCAGCTTCCCATGCTCTACCAACTGAGAAGGCTGGAGGTGCACAAGAAGCTGGGAGGGGGCACAGCCAGGACAGCTGACCCCAAATGGCCAAAGGGACATTCCATACCATGGGACGTCATGCTCAGTACATAAACTGGGGAAAGCTGGCCGGGGGGGCCACTGCTCGGGGACTGGCTGGGCATCGGTCAGCGGGTGGTGAGCAGTTGCATTGTGCATCACTTGCTTTGTGTATTCTTCTTCTTATTATTAGGATTTTATTCTATTTCAGTTATTAAACTGTTTTTATCTCAACCCACGAGTTTTTCTCACTTCTACTCTTCCAATTCTCTCCCCCATCCCACTGGGGGGGTGGGTGTGGGTGGAGAGTGAGCAAGCGGCTGCGTGGGGCTCAGTTGCCGACTGAGGTTAAACCACGACAACAACAAAACATTTAAAAAACCCAAATCCTTTGCACAGATGGTGGAAGATGATTCCAGGCCAAAAGCTGCTCAGTGCACGACCAGACATTTGTCAGCTCCCCAAATTCTGCATCGCTCTCCTCTACTCACAGGTAGCACCATTTTTTTTAAACTTGCTATGCTAATAAATATGTGTAATTAACAGCTTTGGAAAAGATACCGCCTATTATATCTGACGAACAGGAAGGATCACTGTAGCACAGAGGATGCCGCAGGGCTCTGGTTTCCCTGGCACTGCCTGGGCAGAGATGCTGCTGCAACACCCGGCAGATGGAGTGGGAAGCTGCAGGGAGGTTCGTATCACAGAGGACAAGCCTCTTGGTCTGGAAACATCTGCACTACGGAGGTAACTCCCTAGCAAAGGGCTTCTTGGGCTTGCTTTTGCACATTGCTTTGATTTACATTAGCAGGTCTGGGGCTCTCCAGAGCAGCCAGACTCTACAGCCAGGGAGGGTTTTTGGATCCGCTCAGGCAGTCTTCAGTGAAATTTTATCGTTTCCTTTTGGTATTCATTTGAGTGCAGTGAGGCATGATACTCTTAATTTGGGTTGTCCTAAAGTAAAGTAAGAGGAAAATACACACTTACATATTTTTCTCATTCATTTTCAGTTTCTAATGGTTCAGAGACAGAATCTCACTTGCAGTCTGAGACCATGTAAAACCCCGATGATCAGAACTGCAGGATACACGCAGACTGAAATAACAGGACTTGAACAAAAACAATGGTGAAAGCAACAGCTGGGACAAGAGCACCCAAGAACCCACACTGTCTGTGTGCTCAAAACTGATGTTAAGTGGTGCATATTTTCATCCATGAAAAGTCTAGCAGCATTAGAGCAGAAGGATTCCCCCAGTCTCTCCCTCCAAGATAGAAAACCCCCAACCCCCCCCCCAAACCACGCTGGGATGCTCAAGGCTTCCAGTTTTCAGTCAAGTTTCAGCTATTTGGGAGTTATGCTCTTAAAACAATCCTTTCATTACCTGCAATGCACAAATTACATTAAAGCTCAACAGATATCAGCGAGGCGGCACAGATAGGAGAGGAGGCAAAACCTGACAAAAAAGAGGGTGTTTTTTCCCCTTGGGCTATTCGTGGACACGTAGGGGTGTGTGAGAGACTGACCGTGCGACTGCACAGAGGTCTTTGGCCAGAAGAGGCAACCAAGACTCAACACAGCTCTACCCATCTCTGTCAAAAGCCATGGATCAGTACACTGTACATCATCACTTACAGTTCACCTTAGCTTGCATAAATGAAGCTTATCTAGCAACGCTCATTGCAAACAACCTGTTAATCGGCGAGAGGCAGCGAGTCTGCAGCCGTGTCCTCTCCCTGCCCCGCAAGCGCTGCCTCTCAGCAGCCCGGTTCTGGTGGTGGCAGAATCCAGACCTCAGCCCCAGCTTGGATGAATCCGGGCTCCTCGCGATGGAAAGCCCAGGGCAGGTCTGAACACCAGGGATCGTCCCCGCCAGCCTCTCGTGGCTCCAGCCACCCCTCCTCTGCGAGGACCAGCCACCAGCACGGAGCTGCTGCCCCGGTGGCACAGTGCAGAGGAGGCCGAGTCCTGGGTCCCCTGGGAGATGCGGAGAGATCCAGCCTTCAGCCCGCACCGCTGGCATCCTCACTTGCCTGAGGTCTTCACTTTAGACTTGAGGTTCAAGTTGTGAAAAGAGCAGCACTCCAACAGTGTTTGAAAATCTCCAAGATAGGGCTAAAATTAAGTTTGCGGTAACACTGGTCTGATTTTAACCAATTGCTTGGGAGTGGCAGGTAGTGCAATATGCTCTGAAAAAAGCTGTATGATCCCCATTCCTTCTTTTTATCTGTCAAGATAATCTGATGCGGGTGAAGAAGCTCTTACTACCATTACTCTTATTGCTGCGTTAATACCTAGCAAGCAGACCTGCCGAGCAAAACCCCACCGTGCTACGCACTGTAAGAACACATTGAGATTGGTGGCTTGCTCTCTCATGAAAATTATAGATAAAATCTCTGTACTTACCAAGTTATCATATATCAGCTCTTTCTCAGACATTAAAAAAACAACACGACCAAGATGTCTGAGATTAAGAGGCTGGAATGATCTCTTTCGCACATTGAGGCTTTTTTTCGTCTGCCTGCACCTCCAGGCAGTCGTGATCAGTATGAAGAAGGAGCAGAAAATGGGACAAATCAGGCTGCCCGGCGAACCCGGTGGGTAAACAGAGACGTTTTGCCTAAAAGCAATAATGTCATGTAACGCTCAGAGAAGGGAAGAGGCTGCAGATGGACAAACGCGCAGGAGCACTGGGGGAGCTGGGCAGTGCGGGTAGAACCTGCGTCTCCCAAGAGCACGTTTTGGGTCAGGTTCCCGTGTGCCTTTTGAGAGGGCAGTAGCGATGTGTGTCTGCAGGAGGTACTGCTACCTTCCCGCCGCGGCGGATTTCTCTTCCCTTCTGCCAGTTTAGCTATCCTGCCTAAGAGATATTGATAAACATCTCAGCCCATCATTTGCACATTAGCTAAACTTCCTTATTTAATCAGAAATTATTTGTGCGCAGTTCTGAAGTGGTATTGAGCTGCATTATAAACTTTTAACCTCCTTTGGGGACTAAATTTCCGTCTTTCAGCTGCTATTCTTAAAGACATAGGCAGACAGCGAACAGCCACGCGAGGTACTTGTCTAAAAGGCAACTGAGACCTGTTATCTATCATATTTCTAAACATGATTTAAAATGTCTTTTGTAACGAAAAGGAAAACTGATGATTACAACATTGGCGCAGACTGCTAGAGCGTAAGAGAGCTCCACACCTAGAAACGTATCTGTAAAAACCATTAAAAAAAACCCAGAAAACACCATTTCTTAGCTGAGGCTTTAGGCCAGGTTTGCATCATGAATTGAAGACAAATGTCACTTCTGCCACATCCTATAGTCGTGGTTCACTGAACCATTTATTTACGTGCTGGTGAATTCAGCTCATTAGGAACGTACACAAGCGATGGCTAGCTGAGAAGAGTATCCCAAACTAAGCAAAACCCTAAACAACCGTTATTCTCCACGCCTCATGCGGCTCAGCTAGATTTATAGTTGGTCATAAGTAGATTACACAATCAAAAAGCATACCACAAAAGAAGATGCTATCGTTTGTTTCCAGCACCACCAGTCCTCGGGAGCACCCTGAGCACCGACGTGAGCTGACTTCAACGTTTGGTGGAAAAGGCGTAGGAACAGCCTCAAAACGCGGCGTGCACGCCACCAACTCCCTGCTGCAAGAGGAACAGAGTTTGGTCTTGGAAAGAGGAACAGAACGAATAATCGAAGCCAGCGGCAGACGCTAATTAATAACCCGGCTCATTAGCACGGAACGGTGTCACCGAGCTCCCCGGGTATTTCGCCCGGCTGCAAACCGCTCTCTGCGGCCGGGACAC